TGGTGAATTTATCACAGATGAATCAGGCTGACATCAGAATCCACTGTTCGTTCAATCTTAGCATTGCTAACTATCAAATCTCTAGATTTAACCACCAGCTTAGGGGGAATAGTGGGGGGGGGCACAAATTAATTGCCACCATGAAAAAACAATCAGTCAAATCCAGTGTGTGGGCAATTTTGTAGGACAAATTACCTAGTCCCTTCAACAAACAAATAAGATGATGGGCCGGGGGTTGGGGGGGGAATCTGTTGCAGAATAAAAGAGACTTTAAAACATGAACAACCCAATGTAACATGTGGACTTGCTTAGCTCCTAGTGTCCAGAACATTTTTCCTGGTCCCAACTTGCCCTTCATGGTTGAAATCTGCAGTTGGGAAGATATATTCTGCTCTTTCTCTTGGCTTCGTTTGAGCTGAGGCACATCTACCACGGCCTTACTCTCACCTCCACCACTGGTAGTAATAAATAAGTTAGTCTCTGCATTGGGTCTCTCTTTCTCTCTCTCTCTCTCTCTCTCTCTCTCTCTCTCTCACACACACACACACACGTCAGAACTCTGAGTTGCCTTATCCTGTGATGACCATCCCATGGCTCTCTTCAGCATCCCTGCCACCAGGAGCCAAGGGTGGCTGGGAAGTAAAATCTCAGATCCTCTCCTTGCCTGACTACACTTCCTGCCACATTTGTGTTGATGTGGCTGTAACCTAGGTTGGTAAGGGACAGCTGGGGAGGCAGCCCCCTAATGGGCAGTGGGGACAGAGCTGTCGCCTCCTATTCTCTAGCATAGACTCCCTTCCTGGACAAAGCCTGGAGAGAGAAAACAGGACCAGCATCTCTCTTTCATCTTCCCACCATTCCCTTGACCAGAAAGTGGTGAGTCTTTCATCTAATTTCCCTGTGTCTTCACCTCTTGCTGCAACAGAGTGACAGCTGCTATAGGTAATGGGGTGTCTTCCCTCCACTACGGAGAATTCTATGAGATGGATCTTCCATGCTGGGATTTGATATTATAATGAGGAGATGAAGGAATATGAAACATTCTTTCTCATGATAATAGTCTTTCCTGCTACATAATCCTGCATTTCATGTAGAAGTGGAATGTTAGTACATTTTTTTCTTTAAATTCCTTCCGTGACAAATTCTAATCTCCCAAGCATATGAATACCTTGGCCTAGCAGGGCAAAGACATGTGTTTGCACAAGAGTAACATTCAGATTACTATCTTATACACAGAGAGAGACTTAATTGGAATTATATACCACAGACTTAATTGGAATTATAATATGCATATTTTAAGTTTTATATTTTCAGGTATACAAATAATGACTACAGCCTCATCATAAAAAACAACTGACTCACTGTTTTATGACTTACTTCCATCATTTCAAACCATACTTGTATGTCTTTACTATTTTCCCATCTAATTCAACATTCTGCTGAAATATGTTCTTCAATACCTGAACGGTGTTCCATTGTCCAGTGTATCTTTACACATGTAACCAATCTTTAGCCAATCCACTTTATGAGATAGTGAAACTGTTCCCAACTGAACTGGAATGGACTGCCCCCTCCCCTCACTTTTTTGGAATAAATTTGTAGAGGTAGAATGATGGAGTTAAGGAATACACTTTTGTTGAAAGATGTTACAAATTGGCTAATTATCCTCAGAAAAGTCATAGCACATTTTTAGGTCTACCGGTAGTATGTGACACTGCCCATTTCTGCATGCTTTCTCTAAGTTTACAACTTAAAATGTTAGAATTATGCATTTTAAAATGTTTTATCCTAAAATACTTTTGCTTAACTAGCAAACGAATATGGTTTAAGTTTTCCTTTCCTTGAGTCCTTGTGAGTCTGAAAACTTGTTCATTTTTCAAATACACATCAGCCATTTGCATTCATTACTTCAAATGGTATCTTCAGATGAGGAAATGAGGTTCAGAGAGGTTAAATGACTTGTTCAAGGACACACAGCTTCTATGAAGCAAATAACTATATATAGTTATATATATTCTAAAATAAAATGAAATTGTTCTTCAGTTTGTCAAAGTAAGCAATAAAGCCCGTGGGCAAAGTTCTGTTGAATTCAGAGTTCAAGGACATCTAAACAATAAATAAGTCTCTTTGGGCCAGATCATCTTTATAAAATATTGCTGGGAGGATTATTGTGAAGATTTAATTACTTACAGTTCTTTTACATCTTAAAGTATAGTCACGAGAAGAATTAAATAAGGAAGAGACTGCTAAAAAGAATGTCTGAATATGCTGACACCATTCTTCTTACCACCCATTGGTCATGAATGGCTGCACAACTATAGATGCTGAAGGAGACTCTGGTACCCCATGACCTCCTTCTCCCCATCACCACAGCACGAGAACAAAGCAACCAACTGTGTATGTTTTATGATGGTAGGATGCAACCAGCATACTATTTCTGGAGTTGATCAGAAGCTGATGCTTTACTTTTTGTCTCTGAATGCTTTCATTTCTGTCCCAAGTAATATATAAGCCCACACTGTCACCTGATGATGTAACCTTGTATGGTAAAGTCAAAGTCTCCTTTCTTTAATAACTAACAAGAGAGTTCATGAGTCAACAATTAAGGCAGTGGCGGGGGGGGGGGAGTGGGGAGAGAAGAACAGTAACACTAAAAGAAATGCATGCCAGGGTTATTTAAATGCTAAATAAATAAAAAATAAAAAAAGAACCCACACTGGCAAAATGTAATATATTAAGAAATGCTTTACGAGGGAAATGCCTCTTAACTTTTGTCCAATTTGAGATCATTTGCATCCATGACTATTATAGGCAATGAAAATAAAATAATAAAACTGAAGCCCTAGGGGTCTCCCTAAGCATCCTTTGGTCCCTTCCCAAAGTGATGCTTATCTTAGGCAAAGAAATCATAGAATTAGGTGCCAGTAGCAGCAAAGGAGAGTGAATTCAAGAGTTCAGCCACTGCCCTATAAAATGAAGGCAGCTTCCACCTGAGCACAGCACTTCAGGACACCCTAATGTCTCCTGTTTTTGGACGAATGGACTCCTGAAGATCTTGCATAAAGCAACTCAAGTAATTTCCCCGTAACAAATCTGTATTTGTTACTTCCTATAGGAGGTGGTGGCTTCATGCACAGAGTTGGTGCATTTACCTTGAGCCAGACCACCTAGTTCACCTTAATTGTCTTCCTACTAACAGAGGGAACTGAAGGAAGTTACTGACCTTCTGTTTGCCTTAGATTCCTCAGCTGTAAGATGAAGATGATGATGACACACAATATCTGATTCTTCCAACAGTACCTTGAGGTAACCACCATCCCTACCACATTCAGTTGTTGGGAGGATCAAAGGATTTAATATGTGCAAAGTGGTTAGAGAGGTGCTGGCACATGGTAAGTACATTGTGTCTGCTTATTAATTATTTTTTATGGCTGCCTAAAGTGGAACCGCCATGGAGCAATGGCATAAATGCAGTTTATTATTCACTTGGCCCACCTGCTTTGAACTTTTGAGATTCTTGACTTTTATATGTAATTTAGAAGATTTTTATCATTTCAAAATGAGTGTATGCATTTTGGCTTTATACGTCTTTTCATATTGTGCTATTTTAAAATTGCATAATTTAAATAAGCATAAAGCAAGTATGTGCTATATATGAGCAATTACTGTTGATAAATATGCAAGGGTTCTCGTGGGTCTGATGTAGCTCGGGGTACGTTCCTGACAGGCAGGCCACAGGAGAGAGGGAGTAAAAGATGTCAGCTCAGGTTGACTCCAAGTAAAACCAGTACTGGTGCTGATTGCGAGCCAGTCAGTAAGCCTCTTACAAATATTGTATTCAACTCTTACAATACCCTCATGAGAGAAATAATATTAATGCCTCCATGTTACAGATATAGAAACTGAGTCACAAAGAAATGTAAGCAACTTGCCCAAAGTTACCTAGCTGGTAAGTGATGGTACTGGGATTTAAACCTAAATATCCTACCCACAAAACCCAGGTGTAGTTGTTCTACTCTACCTCAAAAAGTTGTCAGGTACAAAATTCATCTTAGGTCTTCCACCTCTTTTTCTCTCTTTAGGGCCTGTTTATCTCTTAAATACAGCCCTGCCCACAACTGTAAGGAACATGAATATGCTTATGGTAAACACTCAGGAAAATGCAGAAAGATAGAACGCAGAAAGAATTGAACGTGCTATTATATCACCCAAAGACCACCATTGTTAAAGTTTTAGCATGTCCTCCGAGACTTCTTTCCGAAGTATATGATTTTTTTGTCTATGTTTGCTTTACATACCTGTGACCAATTATATACACAATTCAATCTTCCTTTTTTCCTCCTAATATTATTATCATCTGCTATCTCATGCAATTAGAAAGTTCATAAACTTCCTTTCTATAGGCTACATAGTGTGCTACTGCATGACAGTTCCATGATATACTTGCCATTCCTTTCATGGTGGACACCTGAGTATTTCCAGCTTTTCTACTGTGGGATGGCTATTTCTGGCCTCTCTTTCTTGACAGTTTCTCTCCTTCTGACATTTCCTCAGCTCCTGCTCAGGCACACAGTGACCTTGGCACCTTTCTATCCTTCCTCTCTCAAAATTTAGTTTCTGGAAGGGAGCTGACAAAGTCATTCATACTAAAGTGTACGTGGTTCATAAAGCTGAATTATTATCTCTTGAAGAAGGCTTGCATCAGTTTCAGCCAAAGGAATGAAGCTCTAATTGTGGAGGCTTAGTCACCAGATAATCCAGTTGGGAAGCTCCCCCACCCTCCCCATTCAGAGAGTAGCCTCCACAATAGCAAAGAAAAGGTGCAGAGCTTACCTAATGTTAGGAAAGCTGACAGCAAGGCAGCCTGGAGCTGCAGAGGTGGTGAGGTGGGGAAGGAAAGGAAAGAGTTTGCATAAGTGACGGTGAAATAATGGGGTAGAAGAATAGAAGAGAACTCGAAAATTCACTTAGCCTCGCGGAATATATTTGGCACCACTTACCCAGTTTCTCCAACTCCCCTGTTTGCCTTTCCAGTGCCTTTGGCCTTAGGGGCGGGCCCACCTTCTCCCAGCTGGGCCGGGTGCTCGGACCTAATTGCTCTGCCAAATCTCACAGTTCGGGGGCCCTTGGGCGGCCACAGAGCCAGTCAAGCCCTAAGGGGGCCCACTGCAAGCCCTGTGTCCACGGACCGTCCCACTGGTGCCTCACCTCCCGCCCCTCAGAGAGAAGAGTTAATAGTCCGGGTGGGGGCAGGGAGGGGGGCAGCAGGCGAGAGCTCACAAAGTCCTGTTCTCCCCCCGCCCCCCCCCCGCACTCTTCCCCTCCCGCCAGGGGCTTCAAGCTCTCTAGACGCCTGGCAAATCCGAGGCTGCTGCGGGGAGCAAAGAGCACCCACGACAGAGCCCAGGGTCCCTCACCTCCCCCCACCGGCAAGGGCTTCGCGGGTTGGCTCGAGGAGGGGAGGGGGCGTGAGGGAGGGGAGGGCGGGGGCGTGCGGGAAGAGGTCCAAACCACCGTGGCTCCGCCCACCTGGGCTAGGAGAGGAGGAAAGCCGAAATCTGAAAAGCTGGTCTGGCAGGATTTAAAAAAAAAAGAAGAAGAAGAAGAAGAAGGCGGCGAGAGACTCCAGGTGAGGACTGGGCGGGCGCGGGGCAGCGGGCTCCCGACCCCCCGCGCGCACGGCGCACGCCCCCCGTCCGCCCCGCCCCGCCCTCCGTCCGCGCTGGTTGGCTCGGGCTCCGCAGAGCGCGGCGGCGGCAGGAGGAGCCGGGCGCGCCCGACGCGCACTGCCTGCGAGGGGCGGCGGGCGCGGCGCGCGGTCTCAGGTGGCGGCGGGGACCGCGGCGGGGACAGCGACCGCGGCGGCCGGCGCGCACCCTCTCCCCGCGCGCCCGCATCCCGCCCCGCCGCGCCGCGGAGCCCCCGCCGGTGCCCGCGCGCACGGCCGAGCCCAGCGCACAATAGCGGCGGCTCCCGGCCCCAGCGCCCGCCATGGGCAAGCCGGCGAGGAAGGGATGCGACTGCAGGCGCTTCCTGAGGAACAACTGGCTGCTGCTGTCCACCGTGGCCGCCGTGGTGCTAGGTGAGCGCGGGGCGGGGGGCGGGGGGCGGGGGGGGCCGCGCGCCCTCACGCGCTCCCGGCGCCCAGGCCGCGTGCGGGGCCGGCGGGTGCGCGGGTGGGCGAGGCGCGGCGGGGGCACCCGGGCGCCCCCCTCGGCCGCCGGGGTGTGCGTGCGAGGAACAGAGCTCCTCGGGGACCCCCGAATGATCAGAGGGGCTTGGAAGGGGGAAGGAAGCCCTCGGTTCTTCCCGTTTGGGGAGCAAACGTAGTTCATTATCACGTTTTCAGTCCTATGTGCTTTACCCCCATTCCCACCAGCACCACCAGCACCAGCACCGTGCTGCCGGGACAGGGATCCAGCGTGGATTTGGGTCCTCCGTTGGCCTGGAAGAAGGACCTTAGCCTCGGGGATGGCCGGAGGTCCCCAAGGGGAGGGAGGAAGAGGGTGTTGGCCGCTCACCCCGGGCCAAATTCTTGCCCAAACTCGGAGGTGTGCACTAATGGCCCACAGGAGGTCATTGGGGAAAGAGCTAACATAACTCAGATGTCTTGCTTCCCCACCCTGGTAATCTCCCAGAATAGCCTCCTTGAGCTTCCTTGCTCTCTCTCCACGTTGTTTTTCTACTGAAAATAATTTTTTAAGTCCTATTTGCTTGTTTTTAAACAAGGGTGTATTTAAATGATTCACACCTGACAGATTACTGGACTAAGTGGTGGTCTGAGCCATTGCTCAGAGGTATGAGTTGTTCCTACTTAGATCATGAATTTCTATTTGCCTGTCTTACAATTTGGGTTCTGAGACGCACCCCTTTGGGGTTGGAGTCGGTCTCCTTTCCACTGGGAGCTCACACAGGTGGGGACACTCAGCAGGTGAGAGGCCTTTGAGATCCCCATCTTCCCTTTGGAAACAGGAGCTGGATTTGTGGAAAAGGGGGTGGACTGGTAGCCTCCCGACCTCATGCTCCTTCTTCTTCTCCAGGGATGCTTCTGAATTTCAGAATATTTGGCATTGCCTACTCCCACTCTTGATGCTTCCCCCCCCGCCCCCCCAAAAAACCCTGTGGAAGTTAACGGAATCCTCAGAGTCAGATTTGCACCTTCAGAATCTTGTGCTAAAATAACGTCAGGTTTCTAGTAAAGAAATAACATCTTGGAATTGCTCTAGCAGAGGCCATTTGTGGGAGGAAAGGAGAGAGGTAGAGAAGCAAGTGTTTCTTATCTTATCTGCTTAAGTCTATTTCCCCCAAGGGCCAAATGGCTTAGGGGGTTTTAGGGAAAGTTTATCCTGCCCCCACTACATTTAAATAATACACCATGGAGAGAGTGATTTGATGTCTCTGCATCCAAACAGATGAGATGGCCTTGTTTGTTATCCCAAGTGGTAAGAGTCCAGAATTAATTGTTAAGCCCTATTTAAGGATGGTTACTGGGTAACTCAAGGCTGGCATTTCCCTCCTAATTCCTTGTGAAAGTGGAATAATCCTGCCTTTTTAGCCTTAGGGGTCTCCAGAGATGCTCACCTGTTAATCAAGTGTTGTGTTGCATACCACTGTTCAGCGTACCCATTCACGGAAGGCAGGTTTGGAAAGGATTTGGGGCAGTTGATCTGTGGCCTTAGGAGCCTATTGCATAAATACAGCTTCATTGTCTAGAGGGATCACATGCCCATTTTGCAAATCTGGCCTTTGGCATCAGAGCACTTCCCAACAGTTTTTTTTTTTAATAAGTGATTTTTTTAAATTTATTTATGATAGGCACACAGTGAGAGAGAGAGAGAGGCAGAGACACAGGCAGAGGGAGAAGCAGGCTCCATGCACCGGGAGCCCGACGTGGGACTCGATCCTGGGTCTTCAGGATCGCGCCCTGGGTCAAAGGCAGGCGCCAAACCGCTGCGCCACCCAGGGATCCCTTCCCAACAGTTTTTAATCTGGGTGAACCACAGGAGCTTGATTCAGACACTTTTCTCAAGAAAAGAAACCACCATATAAAAGTTTCAAGTGCCTCACTGAAGTCTTTCTGAACATTTGCTCCTCCAGGAGCAACACAGGGCTGTCCTGAGGCTTCCCATTCCTGGCCTGAGAAATGCCAACCCTAAGCCACCTCCAGTGTGGCCATCACAGGCACCCCCTGGGGTCTTCCGTTTTGTTTTTTTGTTGTTTTTTTTTTTTTTTTTTTCTTGAGCACTGGGTCTGAGTGGAAAACATGCCTCGGTTTGTGTGGTCTGCGCTAGCTCATTTGTTTAACCAGAATGAAATTTCTGCTAACTTAAAACAGTGAGGCTGAGTCCATATATAAAGTCATAGTAAGTTTATTTTAAAAGTCTTTATTAATACAGAAAATCACAAGCACTCTCATGCAGCTTCTTTTCTAGACCTTTTAAAAGAAGAAACTGTTAAATTTATTACCTACCTTGACAGAGTATCATCTTCTGATGATAGCCATCAAAATGTTCGGTCCCCTCTGGAATTTAACAGCCCTGACACTTTAAAATATTTTGATTATTGAAATGAGGGGCAACGGTTCTTATGAGCCAGCTTAAAGCCTCTGATTTTTCAAGACCTAGGCTGTCAGGGGAAGTGCAGCTAAGGAGCGTTCAATTTTTTACAAAGATACGGCATTTTGTTTCGGGCCCCATGGCCTGATTTTCAATTCATTTAACAGGCAGAAATTCTGAGGGTAGAATTTCTGTACTCCAACCAAGAATTCTGTCCAAACAGAATCACTATGTATAAAAAAAAACCCCTGTGTCACAGCATTCTGATTCAAATGACTCAATTATGATCATAATGTGTACGCATCTCCTTTGACTTATTATGGGATTAGGTCCCAGTAAGCCTGTGCTAAGTTGAAAATACCAAATATCATAATTCAAAAGTGCATTTAATACACTTGACCTGCTGAACACCATTGCTTAGCCTGGTCTACCTCAGATGTGCTCAGAACGTCAAATATCATAATTCAAAAGTGCATTTAATACACTTGACCTGCTGAACACCATGGCTTAGCCTGGTCTACCTCAGATGTGCTCAGAATGTCCATCAGCCTGCAGTCAGGCAAAAATCATCTCACACAAAGCCAATTTTGTAATAAAGCGTTGCACATCTCACGTGATTTGTTGAACACTGTACTGAAAGTGAAGAACAGTGGTTGTTGGGTACAGAATGGTTGTGTGTGTATTGGTGGTTGACCTCCATGATTGCGTGGCTGACTGAACCGCGGCGTGGCTCCCATGCCCAGCGTCACAAGAGAGGATTGTACCAGGTCTCACTAGCTGAGGAAAAGATCAAACTTCAAAATTTCAGGTCTGATTTCTACTAAACAAGTAACACTTTTGCACCATTGTGAAGTTGAAGAACGTCATGAACTGTGTGTGTCACGTTGCTAAGGCGCTCATGCAATCCTCACCCCATGCACAGCCTGGAGCTCAATCTTTCTGTCCAGGACATGCTTTATTTTAGCCATCTGAAAAGCCTGATTTCCACCTTACAGATTTTCAGGACAGGAAGTAGATGTTATTTACGTTACAGAGCTGGCAAGCTTGTTCATTCTGAATAATTTTTTTCAGAGCAGTAAGGAAGCAAGCATTTATAAATTCAGATTCCATCGTTTGACATGGAGAACAGTTATTTCACGCTATATTAGTAATCCCCTTGCCCAAGCCTTGTGTCTCCTACTGGTAGCTCTTGCAGTGCTACATATATTTGGCAGTGCTACGTAGAGTCATGGTATGTGCTCTCTTCCTCTGTGTTTTTTGTTTTGTTTTGTTTTTTAAGATTCTATCTATTCATGAGAGACAGAGCGAGAGAGAGAGGCAGGCAGAGACACAGGCAGAGGGAGAAGCAGGCTCCATGCTGGGAGCCTGATTGTGGGACCCATCCCGGGACTCCAGGATCAGGCCCTGGGCTGAAGGCGGCGCTAAACCGCCGAGCCACCCGGGCTGCCCTCTTCCTCTGTTTTTATGTCTTTGAAGCCTCTGACGACAGGGGCAGGCCACAGCTCAGGCTGCCCCTCACCTGTGCAGAGACTTGTGTGTGGCAGCATTCCAGAATGTCTATCATTACTGATAAAGCTTGCTTGATCTGGCAACTTCCTTGCCTGGTACTGCTGGGCCTCTAATCAGCTCAGTCTTGGAATACATCTGCAGTAACCAACACTTAAATCATTTGTTCATTCACTGGAGACTGTTCTGGAGCCTGGGCACAAGGCAGTAAACAAAACAATCAAAACC